TCGCCCTCCGGGACACGCCCAGTGCCTGCAGAGTCCACCCGTGCCACCAGCCGCAGCAACCGAGGCCCGTTTGTCCTGGGGGTGGGGAAGGGGGACTCGCGACTGAAATCAGCTTGGGGTGGCTACCCTATGATGGACTCAGACTTACGAATTGTGTACTTTAAGTGAATGAATCGACTAATGTGTGAATTCTATCTCTGCGCTGCTGGAGTCAGGTGAGATGCGTGCACATGGTCACCACTGGCTGGAAAGAATAATGGGTCCTGACCTTTATTAGAAAATAACAGTGGTTCCTGCCTGTTGTCTCATCTACTCTGAAGCCGGATGATCACTTGAGCCCAGGAGTTTGAGGTTGCTGTGAGCTAGGCTGAGGCCACTGCACTCCGGCCTGGGCAACAGAGCAAGACCGTTTCTCAAACACAAAACAAACAAACAAAAAAAACCCCAAAACCATCACCAAAAAAATGACAACCAAACTCCCACTAAAAACATTTTAATACATTTGGTCCAAGATTTAAGTTATTTTTCTGAAATACTGAAAAAAATAACAAAAGTCACCACCTGCTGGCAACGTAATTCCTTCATACGTTCACCTCTTCTAAATGAATTAACATCTATAAGCATTACATTTAAATATTGAAATTAAGGCCAATGAGGTGACTCATGACAATCACTCTGGGAGGTAGGTAACCCTATCACTCTGGGAGGCAGAAGCAGGTGGATGACTTGAGTTGCTTGAGTGCAGGAGTTCAAGACCAGCCTGAGCAAGGGCTAAACCATCCCACATTGTGGCAGGTGCCTGTAATCCCAGCTACTCAGGAGGTTGAGGCAAAAGGATTGCTCAAGCCCAAGAGTTTGAGGTTGCTGTGAGGTGTGATGCCACCACACTCTACCCAAGGCAAGAGTGGGACTATCTCAAAAATTAATGAATAAATAATAAAATAAGAAAGTGTTGTTTTTTCCTTGGGTTTGAAAAATGTCCTTTAAAGGATGGGCTAGTACCAAACTTATGTAAAACATCACCAGGGATTTGTGAAATTAGGAGAATTTCACCTTTCTTGGGGAAAAAATACACAGCACTGCCAGAACCTTCCAAAATTGTTCATCCGCTTAGAAGTGACTGTTTAGTCCACCTTTCTTTTTTTTTTTTTTTTTTGAGACAGAGTTTTACTTTGTCACCCTCAGTAGAGTGCTGTGGCATCACAGTTCACAGCAACCTCAAACTTTGGGCTCAAGCAATTCTCTCGCCTCAGCCTCCCAAGTACTGGGATTACAGGCACCTGCCACAATGCCGGGCTATTTTTTAGAGATGGGATCTCATTCTGGCTCAGACTGGTCTCAAACCTATGAGCTCAAGGCAATCCACCAATTTGGCCTCCCAGAGTGCTAAGATATAGGTGTGAGCCACTGCACCCAGCCTCACCTCTTTTCTTGAAATATTTCTTTTTCCTTTGTAAACAATTTCCACCTCCTTTTGCCCCTAAATTTAAAATCTTAGGAATAAAATGATGTGGGGCAGTACCCGCAGCTCAGTGGGTAGGGGACCAGCCACATACACCCAGGCTGGTGGGTTCAAACCCAGCCTGGGCCAGCTAAGCAATGACAACTGCAACAAAAAAATCAGTGGGCATTGTGGTGGGCGCCTGTAGTCCTAGCTACTTGGGAGACTGAGACAAGAGAATCTCTTAAGCTCAAGAGTTTGAGGAGCGGCACCTGTGGCTCGAAAGGGTAAAGCGCTTCAATATTTAAAAGTAATGCTTATAGATGTTAATTCATTTAGAAGAGGTGAACATAAGAAGGAATCATGTTGCCAGCAGGTGGTGACTTTTGTTATTTTTTTTCAGTATTTCAGAAAAATAACTTAAATCTTGGACCAAATGTATTAAAATGTTTTTAATGGGAGTTTGGTTGTCATTGGTGGTGGTTTTGGGCGTTTGTTTTTGTTTTCTGTTTGTTTTGTGTTTGAGAAACGGTCTTGCTCTATTGCCCAGGCTGGAGTGCAGTCCTACCCACTGAGCTATGGCACCGCCTTTTTTTTTTTTTTTTGAGACAGTCTCACTTTGTCGACCTTGGTAAAGTGCTGTAGTATCATAGCTCACAGCAACCACAAACTCCTGGGCACAAGCAAACCTCTTGCCCCAGCCTCCCAAGTAGCTGGGACTACAGGCGCATGCCACAATGCCCAGCTACTTTTAGAGATGGCATCTTGCTCTTGCTCAGGGTGGTATCGCACTTTTTTACAAGCTGCTCTCATGTTTTCAGGTATACTATCCCACTTGTGCCTTTGAAAAAGCTCTATTTACATGTGCATGAAAATAACCTGGAAAGGTAAATCAGTGTTCACAGCAGTTACCCCTAGGTGGTGGTATTATCGGTGTTTGATTTTTTTTTTTACAGAGTCTCACGGTTGCCCTGGGTAGAGTGCCTTGGCCTCACAGCACACAGCAACCTCTAACTCTTGGGCTTAAGAGAGTCTCTTGCCTCAGCCTCCAGTACCTGGGACTACAGGCACCCGCCACAACACCCAGCTATTTTTTTGTTGCAGCTGTCATTGTTGTTTAGCAGGCCAGGGCCAGGGTGGAACCCGCCAGCCTCGGTGTATATAGCCACTGCTCTAATGACTGAGCTACGGGCACCACTAAACATGCTAAATTAAACCTTGCACCAGAAGCTAAAGTAAATAAAAGCTTCCTTTTATATATTTTGTATCTAATTCAGACTAAAGCAGGTTTTCCCTAACTAGTACATACAATAAAAAAATCATCTAGTGACCATAATTTGTGAAAAAAAAATACTTATCAGATGTATTCTACTCAGAAAATTGTTCCCTTACTAAATAAAAATAGTTTTACAGAAAGCTGAGAAAGTTCTTTATTTCTGGTGCCATTTGATGACGTATTCTGCAATTAACATTTACGTTTAAATTCTCCGTTCCCACTCTAGAAACAAAGGAAAAAGAAACTGAAAAAGGTGGACCTTGGTCTAGTAAAATACTCATTTTCTCAACTAGATGAAAAAAAGGGAATCGTCTCAGTTCTGTATTATAAAATTAAATTTATTTTCAGTGTGTAAAACATGAATAGATATTATTTACACACAACATAGTATATTACAAAATAACGGTTAACGCCTCTGCCAGTTATTCTGTCTCAGAAAGCAAACAAGTGTCACCAGTGCTCTGGAAACTTGATTAATGTTATACAAAGACATCACTAACCCAACAGCACACAATGCAAGTAAAACCTTTCCTATTAATCTTTTCCTACTAATCTTAAAAGTCTGTGGACGGTATCACTGGTCATCAAGAGCAGGTTCCGATTTGCTGACATTGTGCTCGGCCTTCAGGGATCAACACAGCCAAGGGCGCCGTACACCTTTTCAGTACCAAGGACGTACGCGTAACCAGGACCGTCACGGCCGAACGCGACATTGAATCTTAAGGGTGGTTGCCGGCTCCACTCCTGCTACCTCAGCGGGCACCCTGTGAAGTTCTTGCCCCGTAGGCAGCCTGAATCCTAGGTTCCTCGGAACGATCACTGGGCTCAGGCACTTCTTCTAACACTTGTCTCAACCACTGGTCTGTGCTGGTCTCCGGCCTCACATAGAACCAGATGACCAGAACCATAAGAGAGACACTCAAGGGAAGCACTTTCCACCACGGCCGCTGCTGTTCCTTTCCCAGGGACTGCTCTACCTTCCAGCGTAAAGGGACGGCTTTGCTGGAGGAAAACTGAATGGGGCGGTCAGGATCGTCCTCCTCCCCACTGGCTGCAGGTTGAGCCCGAGCCCGGCCACCGGGCGGCTGATGCAGGCTTCTGGAAGCCCAGACCACGAGCCTCAGTGCCCGGACGGACCTGGAAGACAAAGAGCAGTGAGCGCTCAGCCCGCCCGCCGGTAATCGTCCAAGGCCAGCCGCGCTCTCTGGTGGCTTACCAGACCGCTGGCGAACACAGGACACCACTCATTGCGATTTTCGGCTCCGCGGCGCGCCGCAGAGCGTCACTTCCGTCGCACGAAACCGGAATCCAGACTCCTTGGCAGGCCTCGGATCACGACTTCACAACGTGTGCCCAGTTGCGCAGCGGAAATTGCGCATCCTCCGGCGGGCTTTTCCGTCGCAAACTATTCCAGTAGCAAAACGAGGCGTGCCGGGAGATGTAGTTCTCCACCTTGTTCGAAGAGGATCGTGACCTCCGGGTGCTTCGGGGCCCTCCTTGAGTTGGCAGGAGAGCGACCCCGGTCCCGCTCAAAGAGCGTCTCGGCTAGCCAGGCCCGGCAGCAGATCGGTGTAGTCGGCCTTGCCCTGCCCAGCCATCGCCTGCCAGGGGCTGCTCCTCCCTGGACCTACTCGCCGCCGGGTCTGTTTTTCTTTGTAGCCAGAATTTTCAGCCCCGAAAAGACCTCATGTCCTGACCTAAGAGGCCCCTCTCCTCTGGAAAAGGACTCGGTCAGGGAGCTGTGTCTTGCGCCCTTCTCCCCAGCCGTCTGCGCCCTGAGGGACCGGCATCGCGAACGCGCGTGGCCGAGCCAGGTGGCTGGAGCCCTGACCTGACGTTCCGGCGGCGCGCACACGCTGCCCCTCAGAGTTTGCAGAGGGAACGGGGAGCCATCTCCTCCGACCGAAGCTGCAGTACGCTCCGGGGCGGGTCGGGGGACCTTCACGACCACTTCAGGAATCCGCGAGTCGTTCGCTCTTGGCTGGGAAGCTGCTTGGAGCCACTTGTCTTCAGGGCACAGCTGCCCTGGCTGTAACTGCAGACCGCATAGGGGCGTCGTACAGACATCACACAGTCCGTGGGGAGGTGGTTTGTGAAAATTACATGCACGTCTGAACTAGAACCTGTGATTTAGGAACGTTCCATCTTCAGAATCAGCCGTACTAAGTATTATGTGTAGTCTATACCAAATAAAAGCTATAATGCTTCACAGAAAACACAAACCAGACACAAATGATGTACCACAGAGTGGGCTAATGTGCTGTGTTGTGTTCTTGCTCGATCACAAAAAATTATTTCCCCCCTTCCGTGTGTCATGGGGCAAACAATTTCAAATCCCAGAAACCTTGAGGTCCTTTCTCCTCAGGTAGAGTTCAGGTACTTTTGTTTTGTTCCAAAACAAAACAAAACAGTGGGGGCTGGGGTGCCTAAGGGGAGAAGTCTAGACAAGGAGGTGACTTCTTGAGGCATCTAGAGGTAATGAGGCATTTCTGGGAGTTGTGGGGTCCTTGCCTCACTCCCACAGGGCACACCCAAAGGGGCAGTGTCTTTAGCTGCAAACAGCACTGTTAGAGCCAGGAGCACCCTGAAGCAACAGCAAGCCTCCTCACGAAGCCTTGACAAGGAGCACCCTGAAGCAACAGGACACCCTAAAGACAGAAGGTTCACCTCCAGCTACTTGCAGACCCATCTTCTTGTGAGGAAGGCAGGAGGGCCTTTGCAGTAAGATTGAACTTAGTCTTCCCCACTTGAAGCTGTCCTTTACAAAATCAATAAAGGGCCGCAGGGAACTATAGTAGGGAGAAATACATATATATGAGTTCTAACAATTAAGTCCTCGAACTTATCCTAGAAAAAGTCCTACATACCTCATTGCTGAGTATCACTATGGTCACCTTCCAAGTACTCCCTGTGGAAAGCTGTGCACCGATGCCAGCATGTAGTCCGCCCTTCCAAGCATTTTTGGAACTTTCTAGAATGACCATCAGAGCTATTGTCTTAGAGCACACCAAAATATGCAAAAATAATGAATGCCATTCATGGAGACATGGCCACATGTTGACATGAATACAGCTGTTGGAGGCACTGACATACTAAGGTCAAGAAACCTTACCAAGTTGATTGTACAGTGCTACCAATGTAAGTACGTGATGGCAAGTTCAAGAACTTAATTATCAGACCTTGCACCCAGTTGCAAGATTGGGTGGAAGCTTGAAAACTCAAACTTTTGGCTTTCCCACTGGTGGCAGGAGGAGCTTCTTTCTCCCCAGGATGGGCCTGGCTAAGCTCAATCTTTTGATTCTGACCTGGTTTTGTTCCACAGCTGCCATCCAGGAGGTGACTAGGACCTGGGCCTGTGTGCCACATATGTGGCTGGTGGTCTTGGATGAGCCTCTTACCTTAAGCCAGAATGTGTTCTGGGGACACCACAAAATAGCCCCTAACCCTAACCCCCCAGAATAGCCTGCAGTGTTCCCACCATCTATGGTTGGCCTCTCTGCTCTGGAACATCCCTCCCACACCTGCTTCCCAGGAAAGGACCATACTTGGGATCAGTTTGGGGCCCCCAGGAGCTCTCTTGGCACCAAGGCACAGAAGGTTGACTGGAGGAGTTCTGAGCTCAGGAAACTTGGACGTCCCCCCACCCTGAAGACCTAGTCCAGGACTGTTCTCAGAGCTGCTGTGTTAACAGGTGCACCTGTGTGCCCAGATCCTCCTCACCACACCACACCCCACCAGTTCCACTCTAGAACTCCCCCTGCAGGGACCTGGGGATACCCCCAGTGCATAGGTTGGAAGCATGGTGGGGGAGGATGGGCCAGGATCCTCCTGGTATGTAGTAGGAGGCTTCCTGGAGGAGGTGGTGATCAGAGGGCCCCAACACTTTCATGTAGCTGGGCACAAGCTTCTGCAGAACAGAGTGGGAGCAGAGCTGGAGGTGGGGTGGGCTGAGGCTTCACCTGGGGTTTTCCAAGTTCAGAGGGGCCATTAACCTATCTCTGTCTAGATGACTGTCTTGGACTGGGGATACCTCAGCTGTGTCATCTGTAAAATGGACATCCCACCCATTTCAGCTGCTGTGAGGACCAGAAGATTCTGTGCTGGACAGTGTTCTCCAAATTTGTGTCCCCTTGGAACAAACAGACATGACCTTATCTGGAAATAGGGGTGTGAGTAGTTAAGATGAGGTTGTATTGGACTGAGGTGGATCCCAAGTATAATGACCAATGTCCTTATATATATATATATATTTTTTTTTTTTTTTGAGACAAGAGCCTCACTATGTTGACCTCAGTAGAGTTTCATGATATCACAGCTCACAGAAACCTCAAACTCTTGGGCTTAAGCGATTCTCTTGCCTCAGCCTCCCAAGTAGCTGGGACTACAGACACCCACCCACCACAACACCCAACTGTTTTTTGGTTGTAGTCATCATTGTTGTTTGGCAGGCCCAGGCTGGATTGGAACCCACCAGCTCTAGTGTATGTGGCTGGCACCCTAGCCACTTGAGCTACAGGTGTCAAGCCCAGTGTCTTTTTTTTTTTTCTTTGAAACAGTCTCACTTTCTTGCCCCTGGTAGAGTGCTGTGGCGCCACACCTCACAGCAACCTCAAACTCCTGGGCTTAATGGATCCCCTTACCTCAGCCTTCTAAGTAGCTGGGAGGCCAGTGTCCTTATAAGATGGGGAGAGGACACAAGGAATAGGCCATGACACAACAGAAGCAGAGAGTGGGGTGATGCTTCTGGCATCATCTCCAGACAGAACAGGTGTGAGGCCTGGAACAGGGTCTCCTGGAACTGTTTGGGAGCGGGGGGCACCCTACTGACACCTTGATTTCAGACTTCTGGCCTCCAGAAATGTGAGAAAATAAATTTGTGTTGTTTTAGGTCACTAGTTTGTCATAGTTTGTTACAGATGCCCTATCGTAGAACCCCCTGCTTCCTGGCAGTGTCTGACCCAGGGCAAAGTCTTGCTCCTTTGAGTCTCTGTGTTGTGTATCTTGGTCCCTATGGCCTTTGGCTGGAGGATGCAGATGTCCCCCAAATGCTGTGATTGACTGACCTGCTGGTGCCTCAAAGCCTCCCCCACAGCCAGATGCACTGGGTCACCTGTGTCTCAGGCTCTCCCTACCCTGGCCCACCCCATCTCATCCCAAGCCCTGCCCCCACCTCCCAGGATGTAAACCAACACCTCAGCTTCCTTATCTCAAAGCACACAGAGAAATTTCACGGGAGGCCTAATGTCCCACTAATGGGGCTGTGGCCCTCGTGCAGGTAATTTATTGCAGTGCCACTTGAGAGCTGACATATTGGCGCTATTGATTTTCCCCAGGTGCATGGGGACAGGCAGGCCTGCCCCACTGAGCCTGATGACAGGGGCGGGGCTGGTGGAGGTGGTGGGCTGGGCTGGAAAGTATCTCTCCGTTGGGTGGCAATGTCCTCTCCCTGGATTCCTGGCCTCTGGCCCTCAGCCCATCCTCTAATCTTGACTCTATTGCTGCACTGCTTCTTCAAAACTCCTGTCTACTCCGTTTGTCCTCACTCCAGGATTTCCCATCCCAGGCTAGGGTTTTCTCCTTGGTCTTGTCAGCAGAGAAAAACATCAGGAAGATACCAGTACAAGTAGAACTGGGTCCTCCTACCACTGGCACTGGTGTGCACTGCGCACTGGGGTATTTGTGGGACCCAAAGCCCCTGTCATGGCCCCAGCCCTGCTGACTGAGGAAAAAGGTGTGTCTGGGGACATAAACCCAGGACCCTGTGAAGGGATCTTTGGGGTGGGGCCAGGTTGCATATACCCTGGCTTGGGAAGCAGGTCCCCGGTGCTGGGATTTTCTCTCCAGCACCAGCAGGCAGAGCTGCGGCCAGGCTCTAGGACCCATGGCTGGTGAGGCCCAGTCTTCCCATGAGCTTCCAGATATACTGAGACTAAGGCTACAGCTGAGTGGCTGAAAGCCCCACATGCTTATTGCATAGCTCCGGAGGCAAGAGGTCCAAGGTGGATTCTCTGGCCTGAGCTGCAGGTATCCTCAGGCCGCATGGAGTCTGCAAAAGAAAGTCTGTTCCTTGTGCTTCTGGCCTACATGGGCTTCTGCATCTCTTGGCTAGGGCCCCTCCTCCACCTCCAAGGCTGCAGTGTCACCCAGGCTCAGACTCTGGCCCTCCTACCTCCCTCCTGTGAGGACACTTGTGATGACATAAGGCCACCTGGACCACCCACAATAACCTCCCACCTCAAGGTCTGCTTACACCTGTGGGGTCCCTTTGCCATGTAAGTTTCCAGGAATGTTTTCCGGGTACAGGTGTCCCATTCAGCTGACCATGGGGGCTCCCAG